AAGCCAGAGAGGCGGACATGGCGGATGGGACCATTTTCACGACGCGTCTGATCGATTTCTCGCTAAAATCAGCTATAATCATGTCACGGTTGTAACATCCAGTTTAATCAGCAGCTGTTGTTTACAAAATTGTAAAATAAATAAATAGACGAGGTGCTTTAAAGCTTTTTTGGTTATTTTAAACGCCAAGAAAATCGTCTTTTTCCAACTTCTGTCACTTAAACCTGACAGAAATAAAAGTCAGTCACCAAACACAGTTTTCCAACAAGTAGTGAGTATTTATTATTTTTTGTTGCTGATATCAGAGGATGAAAACTGGCTGATAGCAGGACACAAATATTCCTGAAAAGATGAGAGTGTAGACTTTCTGATTTATCCCGTTCTAATGTAAAATATGACAGATTACTGGATTAAGGACATTCCTAGTATACTACATGATATCACACAAACAATTTTTGAGAATCTGGAAACAGATGTTTTTACTTCCCAAAGATATGGGAGGAGGAGAGACTTGATGTTTCAGCTGCCTGAAATAATCCGTTCCTCCTCCATAACATGGGAAGAAATTAATTTACCTGCACATTTTTAACTGTGTTTATTCCTCTCTTCATCAACAACAAATCCTCTGAATTTAGTGACATTTGATCATTATTTGCCAAAGTTATGAGGGGGGAATCGTATATTTTAGCCACCTGATATAATCCGTTCCCCCTTTGATGATATTTATGAAATATATTTTCTGTTTAAATGTTTATCTAACAATTCCCAAAACCACTGGACATTGTTTTCCAAGTTTGAAGATGTTTCTTAATTCCAAATGTCTGGAGCAATGCTATTGCAGACATTTGGAATTGAGAATTAAAATACATTAAATAAAGATAATCAAACCAACAACTATTTTGCATTTAAAAATATAAAATAATAAATGTTTTAAACATAATATATGAAAAATAATGACAGTTTCACTGGATTTGTTTATTTTTTTCCCATGTTATGGGGAAATGGATTCTATCAGGCGGCTAAAATATATGATTTCCCTCTGATAACTTTGGCAAATAATGATCAAATTTGACCAAAACCACAGAGTTTGCTGTTGATGAAGAGAGGAATAAACACAGTTAAGACTTGCAGGTGAATTAATTTCTTCCCATGTTATGGAGGAGGTGTACACTTATAGGAATATCAACTTAGGTGGTTTAAAAAGGTTTAAACTACATTTTTTGTAAAACAATTTGTGATTTCGTTTCATCGGTAGGTTACTAAACAACAGACATAAATGTACTAACTTTAATTACGAGTACACGATCCTTTCCTCGAGGGAAAAGGGTAAACAGTTTCGTTTTATCTTTTGCAATGTTAACAAATCAAATATTGGTTATAGCTGATGTGAGATCATGCAACAGTGAAATACATCATGCAATCACCTAGTAGTTTGACATTTTACCAGAAAATCATTTAAAACTACACCAGAGCGGCCTTGTTAGCTTTAAACATTTAGCTTGGTAGCAGCTAAACCATTGCCTTACCTTGGAGCAGGGCCCACGTCAAGCTACGACGGCTAACACTGCGTACACAACAAAGGACAAAACACGGTTATAGCAGCCTATAAACTAAGAATATATCCCTTCGTTTAATATGTATCAACACAATCCTTAAATGTGTTAAATATTCCGTTTATCATAACAAGAATATGGCTACATGTACAGGTCCACCGTCTAATCGCAGCAGAGAGCTTCTTCTTCTTCTTTTTTTTTTTTTAATGGCGGTTGGAAAACAACTTATAGGTGCATTACCGCCACCTTCCAGAATGGAGTATGGATCAGACAAACTATTATATTCTTCCTAAAATACCCGTTCTTGTCTAACTTTTTTACGCAACATCTCTCTTTCCTGAGTATATTTATTACATTCTAAAAAAATAAGTTGGACAGTTTCTAATTTCCCACAAATACAACACCCTGTCTTATGCTTATTCATTATTTTAAGAGTACTATTTAACGCAGCAGAGAGTTGCCATTTCCGCCAGAGGTTGTTTCAAAATAAAAGTAACAATGTTTTATTTTTTAAAATAATTTAAATATTCTGAAAAGTAATTTTATTTGAGCTCTTTTACAATTTTAAAAAGGAACTCTTGTAAACATTTTATCGTTGGGCTTCTAATAAATGATTTCAACCATCAATTGAATTGTTGAATGAATATACGTAGAATTAAAAAATAGAATTGGGAGTGCAAGTGTTACTTTACCATAAAAAACAGGCATGCAGCTCACTTAAATTACCTATTACTCATAACTTTAAAAGTATGCAATTATAATTATTCAACATTTATTTCTGGCTACTAAAAAGATACAAACTGTGGATGACCATTGTTATTTTTTGAACAACAGGTTAGCTTGGCCATTTTATTGGGTAAACATTAATGTTGCACATATACCAGTATCAGGCGGGGCCCCGATCCGGCACTAAAATGGTGGTATCAGTATCGGCGGGTACAAACAAATAGGGCACCATTACCATTTTGAGAGCCAAAAATGTATTATCAATTTATTGTCACCCATTCCAGGTAGGCAATAAAAAGTTCTACTGGATTCACTTTGTATTAGGGAGGCAGCAGCTTGACAAAGCCATGATGGCAATTATTTTACATCCATGTAGTATTTCAGCAGACTGAAGTATGTAGAGAAATGCAGAATAGTTACTTACATTTTTATTTGGTGTAATTTGATGGCTCTAATGTTCTTATTTTTTAATAAGCTATATTTTTAATTATTCTTTGACTGCAATGTTTGTTACATGTTTTTCTTATCTCATTTGTTGTGAAAAAAGAATAAAAAATGTTGCTCCTAAAAACTGAAACAGAAGGTTCAGAATCATTTATTGGCCAGCTTGGTTGGCACTGGTTTCAAGTCAGAGTCCTTCTTTGTACATCATTAACTTTATAGCATACTTTATATATGTAATCATCTAAATGACTCTATTATTATGCTTTAACCTAGTCTATGAATATCTTTCCAGTTGTAATTGGGTTTTTTTAAGAAAAAGTCATTTGTTTTTTCACAAGTTTTAATAATACATTAGATCTTCATAGATTATTGGACAAACATACTTATCTAAATAGTATTTACACCTCTACTTAATACCTACTACTACCTAATACGTTGTACCTTGAAAATATCTGTAATGGATAAAACTCTTATGAAATACATCTATTTACTGATTTAGAAATTCTGAGAAACATTTGAAGCAATTTATGTTTACTAATAATTCAAATAAATTATCAAAGGGTTAAACTTTTTCATCCTTGAATGTGAAATCTCTAAGGTTGTTGCATTTTCAAGGATAGTTTGTTTGGATTCCTAATGTCTATGGCCTGACATACACCTGAGTGATATATGTACCTCAGATTGAATACTACACAGTTCTTCGAGATCTTTAATTGATGACCTCCAGTTCAGCTGCAAAGGTCACATTATCTCTTGCTGAAATGACAGGGGCCAGCATTATCTGAAGGTGTACGTTTTTTGATTTTCATTTTCCAAGACAGCTTGTAACCATTTAGGAGCTGTTTCTCCCTCTCCAGGGGCAGATATAGCTGCTTGCAAAGTGTAATATTGTGATAAGGCTGGAGCCATGGATGTCTCCTCATCTGCTAACATGTATGATGTAATGATGTGGCAGAATGGACTTGTATAAAATGCTTCTCTAACTGTGAATCGTGGTAACTTCACTATATGTGAGGCCGGTTGGTAAGCAGCTGCCTTCTGTAACTCTAAGCAACTTTTTTGATCTGAGTAAGATTATAATTTCTATCAGAATCTGTTGTCATACCTCATGGTTATTTACTACAGATACATATAAAGTGTTTTTCAAAGAGTTTGTCCAGAGTGATCTCTTTTCAGGAAAAAGAACCAGAAATATAAAGCTTCAAGGTGCAGACACACAGCTTTCCATTAACAGGTATAAAAAGAACGGCTCCTGTTGCTTTTAAAGTTCCCGTCCCATTGAGGTTGAATATTTAGAATGCCCCCTTAGATTAATGTTTTTTTTTTAAAGGAAAAACCAAAGTACCTGGAGAAAACCAGATGGATAGATTAGATAGATAGATTAGATAGATAGAAATCCCGCAAACACCAACACAAGACAACTATAATGCAGTCAAAAGTACTCACATTTGGTACTGAAAAACACTGGTCAAGGTAGATGTCCACACCAGTGGACATGTGCCCACCAGAAGGTTACGCCTGTGCCTACTTATCTCTCTAAGGTGAATCCCAAAATACGCAGCTCTAACCGCTCATCTATTGACCTGTTTATTTTTCTTTATTGGCACTGCTAGTATTCGATATTTTTAAAAGTTATGTATTGTTCTTTATAAAATCTATCTACCATCATATTTTCCTCCCTCTTCTCCGGTTTTCCAGCTTAAAAATACCCCAATCACTCTTTGAGGTTTTACCCCCTTTGTCACGAAGATCTAAATAAATTATGAGCATAAAAAAAAATAAAATTCCTTTTAATGGGCTAAAAAGATCAACCTTTAAATGCATGGATATATGATAGACTGCACAATATTGCATCCATTCATTGCAGTCTTTTAAGCTTGAGATAACAAAGACTGCAATGAATGTGATTGGATATCGTTTGCAATATCAGTTGGAAGCTGCATTTTTCATAGAACGTTCTTCATAGAAGTAGGTAAAATAATTAGCTTGTATCTTAGTATTCCATTTTACTTTATCAAAAAGCAAAACAAAACAGGAAGTTTTTCTTGGAGAGAAAGTAAGTAAGGAAAGTAGACTTATTATATCTTAGTTATCAGATATATAGTTCTCCTTCGCTTTTGTGAATTTTTCCTAGATATTGCTGACTGTAAAAGAAAAGAACAAATCCTTGAGAATCAGCCATGAATATAACAGAGCGCTGAAATCTCTCTTTAATTTACCTAAAAATATATAACTATACTATAACTCTGTATATAATAAGGCTCACTGAGACATGGTTTGATGAAATTTATTGTTCTTTTTCTGCAAGTATCCATGCACCACATCTACAATGATATATTCCACCAAGCTGCAGTGTCAGAGTTTAATTATTAGGATAAATGCTAACTCCTTTATGTTTATACATGGGGGTTCCTGGAAACCCTCTGGGTTAATCAGAAACCAGAGATTGATGTGCAAATCTTGAGAAAGAGGAGCCAATGTGTGAGAGAAGTGTTAATAAACGCGCAAGTAAAGGCTTTGTTCTCTCAACAAAGAAATGTACATTACGACCTGCTTAAGCCCTCAAGGGTTTAAGCAGGCCCTCAACTTCAAGGGGAAGTCTGAGCAGCTTGTAAATTATCTGAACAGTTAAATAAATCATCACAGAGAGTTTCAAGTGTTTAATAATGTTGTGTTTTTGTTTCTTGTGGCTCCTCCTGATGAAAATAGATCTTTGAGCAGTGATTGTGGCGGTTGATGCACAGAGGTTTTAAGGCCTCAGAGGTGATGAGCTGTGAGGTCCAGGAGTTGGAGGTGCTGATGTGAAACATAACTACTGTAGGTGCACGCTATAAACTGCAGCTTGTGTGGTTACAGTCAGTGCCAGACAATTACATCTTCATCCTGCAGATAAAAATACAACACATTTAGCATTTCCTCCCGCTCTTTTTTTGTTTCCTCCCCCGCCGTGGAATCACTGCAGGTCTACGAATGCCCATCGATTGGAACGAGAAGCAGCAGCGAAACCAAAGCTACAGCTACAGCGGGTTTATACGATTGTTTACCTGACAGGGAGAAACTCTTCATGAGGGAGCGTCTGGATAAACACGCAGGAACCGTCAGAAACACACTGTTGAACTACACAGCTATCTAGTCCTGCTTAAAGATGCTACACAGGATTTACAGAGCGGCGTCCATCGGAGCGGCGTCCTCTTCCCGTTATCGTCCTGCCGTCTGGTCTATTTACAAGGTTTTAAGAAGCTGATGTTTGCGGCAATGCAGGTGTGGCCAACCGGGCTTCATCAGGACCTCTGCAGCAGGCGATGGACCCATTTAAACGTTTACAAGTAGAACACCTGAACTTTAAAGTTTCATGTCATAAATACGTCGTTGGGTCTAGGTTCAATTTAACAGACAGCAGAAGAATTTCTTCTTTTCTTTGTTCCTGTAAAGTTATCTTACTAGAAACATAAGCTTCACATTATTGACATAACTGAGTCAGAATGTGTTTTCTGAGTCAGACTTCTGCTGGTCATGGGAGTGGTTTGGTAACACGGATGAAAATCAGATGCTAAGCTTTGTCTTGTGGAAATGATGCCTGTTGTTGCAGAGGGAGGTGATAGTGTTCCTGTTTTAGCTCCTGAAAACAGGCTGAAAGAGACACGAAAGACCAAATCATGGATTACTAAACCTATTTCAGGGCTTTTTCCTGTATTTCTCTCCAAGAGCTTCTTTCTATACCTTTTAGATGTCTAGCTTGCTCGGGCCGACGCTGTGGATGAGCTGCGAGGACTCTGAGGCGGCGCTGTACGCCTGGATCAGCAGGTTCTTGTTGAGGTCTCCCACCCCGCTGCCGGCCTGCAGCTTGGGGTAGGCCGGCGTCTCAGCGCCCTGACGCTGTCCCCGTCCCGGACCGTCCAGGTCCATCAGGTGGTCGGGGGGATAGCCGTCAGGTCCCTCAGCGACTGGGGAAAACTCCTGAGCACTCGCCTGCTCCTCCCTGGAAACCGGGCTGATGGAGACAGATGGAGAACTTACAGGAACAATGAGGACAGAGACACAACATTCGATTCATTAAACCTACTGCTTCAGATTTCTATGAGACATAATCCGTCCGTTTAAAAACACATGAAACATAAATGTAATCCTTAAGCATTGGGAAAACTGGTGTTCTCTGTGGGATCTGCTGGTTCTGTTACTGTGCTCAGAGCCTTGATGGATTCTTCACAGGCCACAGAGCTGTTTGGTCACACTGAAACCTTAAACTTATGATTTTTCTCTCTGAGGATAATCTAACAGAACAAATACTCGTTTTCAATGTGAAGACAACAAAACTGAACAGTCACATGGAGTCAGTCTGAACTGGTTAGAGAGAAATAATGTCTGGCTCTTTAATTAGAGCAGCCTCTAACTGGGTTCTTTACAGGAACACTGTGATTTACATCCATCTGCTTTTCTATCAACGTTAATCCCTTTCCCTTTCTTTGGTGGAGCTTCAGGCCTTGTCATGGTTTTGGTTCTGTTTAAGTTTCATCTTTGAGTTTTCATTGGTTTTATTTCAATTTTATGTTATATGGGTTATTTTTTAACTGTATTTAAGTTCTTAGGTACTTCTTGTTTGTCCTTTCCCATAGTGCCTTTATAGACGCCTCTGTTCACAGCTGCTAATTAGCCTGGTCTTATTTCTCTCTCCTATATGTGCTAGGGATGGGACGGTTTATGAAAACCGTCCGAACCGTTCGGTTCGACTGTTGCAGTTCGATTCGCGTGTGTTTCGTTCTGTTCATGCGCTGCTCCTTTTTCTCATAGGC